CCCCCCCCCCCAACTCCCAATCCCATCTCTTCAAATAAAATAAACTTTAATTCATATAATCTTCTACCTTCACCCCCTCCCCAAACCAACCAACCCCACCCCTTAAAGTAAAGCGAAACACAGAAGGCAAATAGGTAGGGTAGAAGAAGTGAGAGAATGACTAGCTTGACTTTGCTTAGTTTCAAAATTTCCTCAATTGCGTTGTAGTAGCCACTGCATGCGATGGGATTTTAACACTAAATCGTGATTCACGGCTTAGTTTGGAGGAGGAGGAGGAGGGTGAGGAAGGGAGAAGAGAGGAAAGAGGGGAGGGAATTTAAAAAAAAGGTTAGTTATTTAGTTAAATGCCAATACTTCAAATGCCCTTTTAAAACGAGGGGATTTCAGCAATACCAAAAGGGCATAATGGAGATTGAAGGCATAAGTAAATCAAATGGGGATGAACTTAGTGGCCATACATTGACGAAATAAACCATTCTAAACGAAGAAGCATACTGACTTTAAGTGCAAAAAAGCTAAGAGCCCTGATAGCTTTCAGTTTTATGCTTCTCAAGCACTGGATAAAATTCTGATTCAGTAGTTATGGACAATAGGCAACGAACACCTCAGGCAAGCGCTTGCTACCATCAGGTGACGATTTGTGAATTTTGAAGTTTGGGAAATGGGCACCTCCATTCAATACCTATTTACAAAATCCTTGATGAAAGGCCAAATGAAGTAGAGAAACCTTTGGCACCCTGATGTCGACGATCTAAGTGACTTTTCAAGCCCCACCCCTCTACCATTACCTAAACCTCCTTTTATTCGCTTTTAAGCGCTTCCCACGCTTAAAATGGTGGGAGAGAGGGCATGGGCACAAAGACAATTAAAAACCCAGAACAATACAAAGAATGGTGAATCATTGGAATAGTCAGACACTCACGACTGTGTTCAATCAAGCGCAAATGGTCAATAGAGCTCTGTCACAAAGATATTCAGTAAAATAAGTCGACTTAATAATTTTAATACTTGAATTAGCTCCATCCACTTGGAAAGAGGAGGAATGTTTGAAAGTGCCTTTCTAGGTACCATGCTGATATACCCAGAAAAGTATAATAAAAAATGTTAGATGAGCATAAATATAAGACCAAAGAACCCAGAAATAGTGAGTATAGCATTAATCGTTTACTTTAAATCAGTCCGACTAACAATCGGCCTGTCTGCCCCTGCTACTGGAATTAGCCACATTCAAAATATGCCTGATTTTGCTTAGCCAATAAGAGGGGAATTATTTTGTGCTGTTGAACTCCCCTTTAGTCAAAAGGGGAGATAAATTTCCAGAAGGTTTTCGTGACGCAAACAAATGAAATTAGGGACTTTACAGACTTGTTAGAAATGTTTTAGGCTCTCTCAGGAGCATCATCTATCTCTCACTCAAGCAGCCAAATATCAATAGGACAAATAAATTCCCAGAGAGGTCCAAAATAGAGTACCTAGGGAATAAAGCGCAAGTACGAGGGAAAGAGAATCGACGATAGAAGCGGAAAAAGTCTTTTAATATATAAAGTTAAGCTAGGGGAAAAAACTTTCTAAAAACTGGCGCAATTAGACTCACTAATGTGGATTTAACAAGAAATTTGTTCCGTTTCTCCTTTTATAACAAAATTGGGTTGTAACACTTAAAATAAATGGGCCAAAACTAAGAAACGATAAGCGAACTCCCCACGTTAATAATCTAAAATTACTAATATTAATGTTTTCTTAAATATATAATATCCTCAATATCTATCAAATAGACTGGTATAAAGCATCGTTGCACGGTTGACTAGCATAACACTGCCTGAAGTTATGGGCCTTGGATAACCTTTAGGAGAGACAAGAGTTAATGTCGAAAGTTTACTCCTAGGAGTAATTAAAGACCCCAGAAACCCAGACCCAACACTCATATTCAGGTCAAAAATTATATGCAAAGCAATAAAATGCCGTTAAACCCTTACCAGGTAAGTGACAGGTTTCATGAAATCCACCCCACCCCTTGAGACAACTTCCTCAAAACATCATGAAACTTTACCCACGAAACGGTTCTTCACAACACACAATTCAATCAACTTATTAAGCCACCTCTATTGTTTATGGTGTACGCTAATCCAGATTTTGTTATTTTTCTTCTCTTCTTTTCACTCTTCGTATCGATGTTTTGGCGACGCACGTAGCAGTAAGTGGTTGAAAAAGGCTAGTCGCATACCTAAGCGCACGCGCATCAGAAGGTGGCAAATAATTGCGATATAGAAGACAAGAGCTCAGTTTTCAATGCCTTTGTGTAACACCAAGTGAACCAGGAGCATTTCGGATCGAGGGTTACGTCTTCTGACAACTGCTACTACTCGGACTAAGTGCTTGTTTGTGTGCGTTTACATGATGTGGATTTATTTAGGGTATACGATATTTTACCGCTACTAACCGCTTGGGGGTTAGTGAAACTAGCTAAAAACGAACATGCTGATTTACATTGGATTAATCATTCGTTGTCAAGAGATAACTTCAATATGGCCAATTCATTAAAAGGGAGGGGGAGGGAGGACGACAAGACTATAAATTAAACTACCCGTATCGCAACGAGCTTTGTCCCCTTCGGTAGACAGGATCTTGCTTCTGGAGTTCTTTCTCTCTCACCAATCCATCTGGTAATAACTCCGTTCCCTAACTTGACTTAAAATCAAGGTGGAGCGAGTGTTCATTTGACAACATTTGAGAGCATCTAACTGTAACAGAATGGCAAAGTTCATTCTTGCGAGAGTATGTTAGCAAAGCATTCCCTTTAAACCCACTAGCTGCAAAATGTCAGAAATGGCATGCTTTAGCGTATACTTTCATCTACTAAGGCTAATGGTGATTGCATGAGAAACTCGACCATAAAAAAAATAATTTTAATATTGAGAAATTCAATGGATTCAACTGTCAATATTACTATACCAAAAAAGGAAAATAAAACCCTCCTCAATTCCTAAAAAAACTTTCAAGAGAATCCAATAAAACTTTATAGCAATCTATGAGACAAACCATTGATAACGCTTGAATGCACGACTAAGGTTGTTAACTAAAACTTTGAATGTACCACAAAGAAATTACTCAACCTAACAATGAGAAGATTGGATTTCCCATATTCTAAATAACTCAATCACCATTGACCATAAAGGAAAAAGAGTAAGTAACTCGCCTAGCATCGAGGAAGCGGGAACGCAGAATCATAACAGCCTCACAAATACTTTGCTTCAGCTGTGTCTCAATTGCTCTGAACTTGCGTCGAATGATTCCAACCATGAGTTCAATTTCCGTTGAAGAAATTGGACGGCTTCGGCTCTGCTCTCGGAGAAGATTTACCACATGACCGGTAAATTCGTCACAGGCCTGGTAAAGACATACAGAACGCTAAGAAACCCACAGAAAACTCGAATCATAGGGTCATCATAAGATAGAAGCTTACGTTCTTATACTTCTCCAATTCAGTGTGATAGAGCTGACGAATCTGTGTAAGCTTGACACGATAATCTGCATGTTCGATCTGGCCACTATCACCGGCCATTCCACTAGCCCCATCAAAGTCACCAATATCGTTAGTTCCAGTGACGCCCTCGGCAATTAACATCTTATCCAACCGAAGGAGTTGGGGATCAGGGGCGTTCAATTCCTCTTCTGTACTGGCAGCGGCTGTACTACGTAGACTCAGAGCTGAAAATGAAAGCATCGACAATGTTAAACTCATTTATATTAATTAAGGTAACCTCAAGAGTAACAAACAAAACAAATCAAAGCTAAAAGAGATAAAGAAAATGTTCAACGATCAGGAAGAAGGGAGATGAGTAGGTCCTTACGAAAACTGTTGCGAAAAGATAATTCAGATGTAACTTCGTCGAAGGATGGGAAACTGGGAAACGAATAACATAGGAGTTAGGAGGGGGGCGAGGAGAAACAAATGCAAAGATCATCCAACCGATAAATGTCCACACATAGGTGCATCAACTAACAGAATGGAACTTTGATGGAATAACACTTCACTGAATATCGCATGATTACACCAAAATGTGAGTACTTGAGTTGAAATCTGTGCAACCAAAATGGTCAGATACAAGCTCTCCACTGCTTCTCAACTGGCCAAAATAAGTAGTACAAACAACTCAAACCAGCCTCAAAAACCTACCAACACTCAATTTTAGGAAGAACCTTTGCATTTGTAACTGAATAGCAACGCCGCGCAATTTTCATTCTAAAGCCTTCTAACCTATGCTCAGACAAAAGGTAATGCCTCAGATATGTTGACCTCAGGTTGAAAGAACGAAAACCGCCAAAATTGTGAAAATTTTAACTTTTCAAGATAGAATTCCTCCCATCATTCAAATAAGTGCAATAGTGGAAAACAAGTGTCCCTCCAATCCAATCCGGATCTGAGGAAAGAACACACGGACCAAACGAACTTTATTACCAAATCAGAAAGATAACTCAAAAGACTCAGCGAAAAAGAAATATGCGACTTTTCTTCCAATTTAACACAGCCTATTCAAATGAGAAGCGTATAAAATATGGACAAGGAATAAAACCATCAAATAGGACTATTTTAATGGCGTTGACCACTTCAAATATTAGCTACAAACGATACAGTTGGCTTTCCCGGTGTATAAGTTAAAAAAGTGCGCAGTAAAATAATGAAATAGCTTTGCTAGTTTAGCCCACTAACTTTAACAGGAATTAACTTAATCAACTTGGAATAATCAAAGTAATTCAATAAAACCAACTGGTCAACACACTGAATATCGTTAAAAGAAATTCATTATGAGATCCAAGGATTAGCAAGTGAAAAATTGGCTAATAACTAAATGGGAGAGACGATACTTCTATGGTTGAAATACAGACTTTTGACACCCCCCCCCATTTTAACGCACAATTTCACAGTCCCGGATCCAGTTGCTTGACTGAAATTTGTTAAGATTTTATTTTGAATTGCCGAAGATAATAACTCTCATATCGCAACTGCAGCACCGTGAATATGTTTTCACTAGAGAAGCACTAAGTTGCTCCCTGCCATAAATCATTTCATACTCAACCCTGCAATAAAATGTGAAGTTTAATATTACTACGTAAATGTTAGAACTGGTAAACATTTCATAATTCACCAGCAATTAGAGCATTAGGAAACACCTCAGTTTTTATGACACAAAAAACGCCTTTCAAGTTGGGAGCTTGCTGAGGTGATGCATAGATGCTAAAAATTAATGAGCAAACAATTTACGTACTTTAATTTATTTGATTACTTAAGGTAAGTTGGAAAGATTGGTCACATATAAAGTCAGATTAATACTTATGCAGGTAAGGATAGCACTAATTAAATCAGAGTAATTCAATCGATCTATAAAAATGCTTATAATACTGAGACCAAGCATGAGAAGGGTTATGAAACCAAATTTGACAAAGTAAGCTCCGAAGAACACAAACAAATTCTGATGGAAAGAAACGAAGATTAAGAATAAAAGGCAATAAAAATTTCAGGAAATAAACATGAACACAATCCATCATACCGAATAATTTCCTAAAACACGGAATATTGTGAATGGAAAGTCAGATAGAGGTTAAAATATAACTTCGTTAACACAGAAATTAATTTATATAAAAGTAAAATTCACCTGTTTTCTCTTTGATTTCACAAAATACATTATAGAGAGCAGGTTTTAGTCGGTGGTTGTTTAGGGCTTGTTTCCTAAAAAATAGAACAATATTAAGGTAAATAAATGAGTCGTTTGTATGAAAAGATAGAATTAAATAACAAAAATAAAGATAAGAAGTACAATTAACATTTTTAGGTGTTAAGAAATCACAAAGCGAAGCAAAAGCCTACGTATCTATTTTATCTAATATCATCATTGAAAAGTAGCCTACCTCTCTTGTGCTTCATCAATGCTTTGGTGGGATACACTTAAAAGTTCTTGAAGTTCACGCCCAGTAACTTGCGTTCTGTGTTCAAGAGATAAGTTCTCAGTGTCGACTGATGCGCTGCCTCCCATTTGGTCAAAAGGCGGCATATAATTTGGTCCGAATGTACCGTGTTGCATAGAGCTGCTAGGTGTACACATTGGCTGATTATTCCAACTCATTTAATTAGTAGTAACTTGGTAAAAATTAATTGCAAATCAGCAGATAACCTTGCAACAACCAAACAACGAAATAGTGAGTCCAGTCTAGAAATGCCGCCTTAGAACTCAGACCAATTAGTATCGAGAAATGTCAGAGCCATTGGCTTGAACTAACAAACTTGCTTCTGCATATTTATAAAAATGTAAAAGTTTCATAAACCTTACCTACATTATTTTTTTAATTATTAACTATTTATATTACCTTATTTGATTTTTTCACTTAAAACTCACAATATGCTTTACCAATGATTCCCTATAATTTTAGTTCCTTAAATATACTTTTTTGGGAATTATTTAAAGGAATAATTCATTTAATAGATAATATTTGGATTGTAATGACTTTCACATACCGTAAATATTGGTCAATTAATACGTTTACTATCATTTAACAAATTTTAACGAACAATCTATATTAATATTGCTAGTGATTGTCATGTTGTTAATATCTGGACTATACTTGAACTGACTAATGAAATAAACTGATTAAAAATATATTAACTTAATGTGCAGAAAAATAGACATCTTTCGTCATTTAATAATCATCAAGTCAGTCGTTTTTCCTTTAAATATATTTCATTTGCCCGAGGATCTGAAGGAAAAGATCTTTTGAAGAAATTGTTTTTTCCTCCCTATTTCTTCAGCCTCAAGTCATATTGGCGGGTTTTCTTTTTAGACCATCTAGTAAAATTATGCTAATCATTTCCATTTCAGTTTTAATATCTATTATACAGGAAATGGGAGACATCTCTTTTTGATGATCTGCTTGCTTGATCTCCTCAAATGTAAAATTAGCTTAAAATTTGACATACCCTGAAAACTCGATTACATCGGTTACTTTGATGTCCTTTCTCTATAATACCCACTTTGCTTATGGCCAACTTGCCATCCAGCTTAATGAGGACATGCAGATCGTTGTGGTCATTTAATCATTTATTGTGCTTAATTTAGTTTCGGCTCCTTAAGAGGAAAAGTGCAGATGCTCTGTTTCCATCTCTTAATTTCAAACGCTGCCTTGATTATCTCCAAGACCTTGTATGTTGAAACTAAAGAAGAAGATCTATAGTAAGTAACTGCTCAAAAATGACTAATCCTACAAGCGGCTCGAGTCTCCTTTATTGTTACGTCATGTTCATGCGTCTTGTGCACAACGTGCGTGCCATAATCCTCATAATTTGCGACACAGTCTAGCCTGTTTGTCGAATAGAAACCATCTTCATTTCGTTTAGTTAGATCATATCACCGAAAATTACATTTGTCTGCAATTAGACACTACTATTGATATGCATATAATTTCAAGGAAACTGTGGACATTATTAAGTCATTCAAGATTAAAACCATCCTCCCTACCTTCAATTGATGCATTTTAGTATGTCCATTTATTTTTCCTTAGCTTAAATGATGTCTCCGAATGTTTAATGGTATTTCAAGTCGAGCATAGTCAGTGTAGCAAAGCAAACATCAATAAAACCAATACCGAATACTGAAGCCCTTAAAGCAATGTCTTCTTCAACATGCTTCTTACTCAAATTGAACTGCATCTATTATTGCTATTGTTTAGAGATCAAATGGAGCTATCTTGCTGTTACCGTTGCATGCCTAGACGACATAATCATTGTATTCTGCTTTCAGTAGAGCTTCAAGACCGTGTCATTTCACTTCTTCAGTATATATGGGAGTATGACTTCGATCTTAGATTATCTAGAGTACGTCTTTGATCTAAAGCTTCAGATAACTACAGAAATGCCAAGGCCTACGAATATAATCTAATTATGTTCATTGTAGGTCCTCACAAGATACTAAAGTAAATTTCCGACGTCATTGTACAATCCCTTGGAGCTGGCAACCTGAATACGGGAAAGCTGCCACGTTCCCGATAATTCGTGAATCTTAGATTGATAATTGGTCGTCGGCCTTCGTTTTTTGTTGCGATAAGGCAATAAATTTCTCCGCATTCGGGATTTCGTACTATTGATGGATAATAAATCACTTCTCCCTATCTCTGGATCTGATAAGTGTGCTCCACTTAACACTTCAGCGTTGGCCGAACTTCCCCTTTTTATCACTGTGGTATAGAATATCGGAACACAACAAAGCTGATTTTCTTTCTCATCTCAACTACAATTGAAAATATTCTGTCGAAGATGATGCGCAACGATTCTGTTATAAGTTCCAATAACTGTAAATAGTATGAAATGCAATAGCTAATGGATAAGTACTGAATAAGGCCATGAACTACAAAGGAACAGAAGGGCAATAATAAAACCAAAGAAGAGCACGTCTAAAATTTTATTGAAGGCATAAAATCCCATCTGTGACTAATGTAGGCTTAAAAATGATGTATCTTACCTGTCATTCCCTCAATAATCAAGGAGGGTAAATCACAGCAATTTCACACTAATCATACAGTTGCTAGTTGCATGAAATCTATTTCAAGAATGGCTGCCTACTGTTCTGGATTGGCCAAGGAAATCGAAGCGGTTTTCTACTGATGATCCAAATATCGACAAGCGCCTAAGTTTCCCCCAAAACTTAGAAAGCATTCCCTGGCCTAGAACAGCAGTTCTATAGTTCCAAATACATATAAAATTTGCTAGACATGCTCATAGTCTCCCATACCTTGTGTGTGATAGATTTGTACTCAAGTTACATGTATTACGCTGATGGGTTGATTTCGACATACACTTTCAAAACTTGACTTCCAAAGACCATTTTAGCCTCTAGTTGGATTCAAATATCTTTTACCCTCTCCAAGGCTCCCAACTATTTCATCCTCAATTAATTTTAAGGAGAGAAATCAGTGCTACTGTGGAGACTTCATGAAATAAGTGTCAGCACTCGACAAATACCAATTTTTGTCAATAAAACTGTAGACAAACTTTAATGGCTTCCCAACTATTTCTAAATGGTTTAATTAAAGCTATTTAAATTTCTCCTTCAAAGAGTGGTAATGCTCAACACACTTCACTGCACTTAACTGGTTTCAAATTTGAAGTTTCATTTTTCAGCGGGGATTTTCAGGATATTAATTACTCACTTTCAAAACATGCTTTGAATTCTTGCATAAGGACAGGAAAATAGTAGCAAATGGTGTTCGTTATAACAAATTAAACTCGATTGCTGTACTTATTATTGAATTGGCACTTTTATAGTTGAATACACAACTCTGGTTGGTAAATTAAAAAAAAACAAAGCTTATTATTGGCTTGGGACAAATATCTCAAGGAAGTTTGCTTGTGTATGTTTCTTTCAGCTGAGCTGTTTTGAAAATCAATAACCACGTTAAAAATATAACGGAGAGATATTTAGACTAGGAACAGTTTTTTTCATTCATCTTTTGTGTTTATGTTGTTCACTTTTCTCTAATGTACTCGAGTCCTAACGCTGTTGCCCTGGTTATCTTCTTCAAGTTGGCATTGATTAAGATCGCTTTTATCTGAGTTTCATATTGAAAATAAAATGTTTACTTGATTCATTGCTGTCTACAAGGCGTATTATTGGCATCCAATTGGCTAAACATCAAAGAAATATGTACTTGAAATGATTCCTTTTAATGTAACTTCGAAGGATTCTTGAGACCTGAAAGCCAGAGTTCACTTGGACAGTTTCATCTTCTCCGATTGGTCGTCACTGTGTTAGTCATTTATGAATATAATTAGAAGATTTACAATTATGGGTAATCATTAACTAGCTGGTATCCCAATTGAAAATTTTGTAGCGGATTGCTACTTTATTCTCGAACATGTAGCGGATTGCTACCTTCGTAAAGCCTTGGTTAAAGACTTGTAGCGGATTGCTACCTTAGTAAAGCCAGACCGGTTGAGAATTGTAACGGATTGCTACCTTAGTAAAGCCTGACCGGATTGCATTGTAGCGGATTGCTACGCTAGTAAAGCCTGACCGAAATCTCTATGGCAGATTCTCCAACACCTAGCTAGACTCCCAGAACAGCTAAGCTATAGCTCCACGGATTGCTACGCTAGTAAAGCCTGACTGACTCAGAAATATTGCTACTCTAGTAAAGCCTGACTAACTCAGAAATCTCTGGCTACGCTAGTAAAGCCTGACTGACTCAGAAATCTCAATGGGAGATCCTCCTACATCTAGCTAGACTCCCAGAACCAGCTAAACCAAAGGAAACAGACGTGTAGCACGGAGCACGCTAAAGGAAACAGACGTGCAGCACGGAGCACGTTTATTCAGAGGAAACAGACGTGTAGCACGGAGCACGTTTATTCAGTTCGTATATTACGGATCAGGGGTGTACGATAGACTTATCTCCACGTGATGCACCCTGGGCAACGTATCCTCATACGGCAAAAAAGCCTATAAACCGGCAGTCGACTTCTGACTTCAAACTACCATGATCCCACTGTATGTCTTATTCGATCACTTCCACCATACTTATCCTACCTTTTCTCTGCCTTTGTGTCTGCCTGTCTCTTTAACATTTTTAAATCATTCTTCTGTTCTCCCTCTCAACTCTCCCTCATTTTGACGTTCCTCCTTCCCTCTGTGAGGCCCGAAGTCAGCTAAAGGGCAAATGACAAGTGTCATAAGGTCCGCCATTTGAAATAAATAAATATTGCGGATCAAGTGTACGCGCAGGGAGCTACTCATGATCAGGATGGGGGATTAGGTTAAACAGAGGTTGATGATTGGTCACGGATGGGGGATTAGGTTAAACAGAGGTTAATGATTGGTCACTGTTTGTACGATCGCGTTAAACAGAGGTTAATGATTGGCCACTGTTTGTACGGTCATAAACAGAGGTTAATGATTGGTCACTGTTTGTACGGTCGCACCTCCCAGGTCGCCAAACAGAGGTTGATGATTGGTCACTGTTTGTACGGTCACTACACACAGAGTTGTACGCCGCACCTCACAGTCCTGGCTAGCAGACATGCAGGCGTACGATGACG